ATATATATATTATGTTCCTGCCCAGTGCCCTTGCCCACGTGTTGACTCAAGTACGACATAAAACTACCTATGTAGGTCTATTCAAAAGGAGAAACAACAAACAACAAAAGACCCCGATATTCTAATGTTCCTGTCGTACTTCTAAAAACAACAGATCTTGATCTATATAATATACAATGTACATCAAATATTTATTTTGTTTAAAATACCCACGTCAACAAGTTGTGTTATTCTGTTGTCGGTTTTTTTCTTTCTAAAACAGGTTTTTTTGTGGTGGTTTTTCTTTGGATGATTATTTAATATGAATTAATAAATTATAGAGTCTAATTTTGACAGGTTGGCCATGGCGACAAGAAACAACGGGATTTGATTACTTTCGTAGGCCAACGATAGAAGTTCTTATTTTAACTAAATGACGTCATAGACCGCACCTTCCCAGCAAACCCTGGGCTGAGGCTAGGTGATCACGTGATTTCTTTCTGTCGGTCCTTTTTTGCGGTGGTTCTGAGCGTACAAGCAGGTAGGGGAACGTCTGCTCTATCTTTTCATAATCTGAAGAAAGTATGAACCATCCGAAGTTACTTTTAGTATTACACTTTCATTTATTTAAGTTGAAGCTATGTTTTGTCATTTGTTTTAGTTATGAATGTGTTATAGCTTGTATTTTGTAATTTATAATTGTCGAGTTTCGAACCGTGAGTCGTGGCCATAACTTATGCCGATCATGCCGGTTCACTGTAACAAACTGTTGTTAAGTCGTCGACGATGATTGAGGCCTCGGCTGCTGTGTCTGGATGGATTCAAAGCTTTATTGTTGTGAAAAGATATGGTTTGTGTAAGATAAAAATCTTTAATTTTCAAGGAACTCCCCTTTTCGCTACTCCGACGAGTTTGCGACGAGACAGTCAACAAGACATATGCCGCGTATGTCTGTCCACTTCTTTGTTCTAATTTTGACCGGGCAGATCTGACCTGTTCTTTTCTAGTTTCCAATTGGTAAATTAACTTCATTAGTTCTTTCGTTAGCTGTTGAGAATCTAGATTTAGATCTAATAGGCTATTGTTTAAAGAAAAGTTCAATCTGGTGAGTAGTGTGAATGTCTCGTTTACCGGAAGTAAATTTTCTATTGAAAAGACTGACTGAGCAGCCACGTGGTATATTTCATGATCAACATACATACCATTAGTGATCGTTAGTCATTTCATGAGCCTTCCTTGTGGTTGCATCACTTTGAGAAATAGTAGACATGTGAATTTTCAATGTCTCACTTTTGAATTTCATACTTCATGTCATGTTGTCTTCAGTTCAGTCATGTCTTGTTGAGTTGACCGGCTTGGGTGCTTGTACTTGGAATTGGAAGATTGGATTTGACCTGACTTGGGTTGAATTTTAAATGTTTGTTTCTGCTTTACATCTAGATCTAGATCTAGATCTAAACTTTGATTTTTCCGTTCTCAGCTCTAAGTCCGAACTAACTCTAGCACCATGGGTAAGGACAAGCTTCACATCAACATCGTCGTCATTGGCCACGTCGACTCTGGAAAGTCGACTACCACTGGTCACTTGATCTACAAGTGCGGTGGTATTGATGAACGTACCATTGCCAAGTTCGAGAAGGAGGCCCAGGAGGTGAGTTGTTTTCCCATTTTTAGTGATTTGACTCATTTGTTCAGGTATTGGGTGTATGTAATACAGTCATGCCGTTAGTGGCGTTAAGAGAGAAAGATGACTTTCTTCCCCAAAGCGGCCCATGCACGATCAGCTTGACACACATGCTTGTTTGATAAACATTTGATCGTGTATGGGTAAGTTTGATGGCCAAAAATAGTTGATGTCAAATGCTTTATGGATCTGATATTTATGTGGTAAGATTGAAGAATACCGGACCAGCGGACTGAGTTGGCCTATGTCTCAACCTTAGGAATTCATAATTTTCCTGTTTTTAATATCTTTCAATGGAGAGCCTCGGACCGGTAGATCTAGAATTATATATCTATTCATTAAAATATTGTCAGGGGGGAGACCCCAACCACCCGTCCCACCTTCACCACATTCTCGCGCAATAATGTACGAGTGGTCCGGTATTCTTCAATCTTCCCATTTATTTTTCAAGCCCACGTTGGATTGTGAGTTGGGTTCCATCAAATTTGTCGAGCTTTATGGCATTTCGCATGTTTCTATCTTTTGTTATGTCTCGCAAGCTCCAAAAGTTCCTCAAATGAATCTTCATTCGTCTGAAAACATTTCGAAAATCATGTGGCTCAGTAGGCTACATTGCAACTCATAATTTAGAATGGCCAAACTTTTGGCGCTGCAACACTTTTGGCCCACTTTTTCTTTTTTTCTCCTTTGCTAGGCTAAAGCAATAGCTAACGCTCTTGGTCCATTCATTAGGAAGTCTTGGCACATACTGTTTGACAAACAAGTTTGACAGTGTATGGGCCACTTAACTGAATTTTAAAATGAAATGGTAGCCTAGGGCATCTAGATCCAGATTAAATCTATTTATGAGAAGTCATTGAAATTGAGTTGTTGGGCTACCTTGCATCTAGATCTAGAATCTAGGTTTTTGTAGCCCAGACCCAATTGTAACCGTTTTTGTTCAGGTCTCTGGAGTGGAAATTTTTTGCGTTGTATTCTCAATGTTTGACATTTTTTGACTTTCAGATGGGCAAGGGTTCCTTCAAATACGCCTGGGTGCTGGACAAGCTGAAGGCTGAGCGTGAACGTGGTATCACCATTGACATTGCTCTGTGGAAGTTCCAGACTGAGAAATACTACGTCACCATCATTGATGCCCCAGGACATCGTGATTTCATCAAGAACATGATCACTGGCACATCTCAGGTACTTTTTCCTTTCCAGTTCAGGAGGTGCAGGGCATTGCTGTTTGCAGTTGTAGCAATTCAATAAAAGTCTACAAACCCCCAAATCCACTTTATCCATACTTGTAATAGTCAAAGTGGGTGTTTATTGCATGCATCAATTTCTAGTTATTTTATATTGTTACATTGGCATGTAGTTTCAGGGAAGTTACAGCTTTAAAAAAATGGATGACAAATTTAGTTGCTTACAAAAAGGGAATAACTTTTGGTGTAGAGTTGAAACTGTTTAAATGTACGCCTGTATAGCCTACCTCAAAAGCCCTTTAGAATGTAGTCTTGGTGCATAATTGAAAGCACCTGCTGTCCTCTTGTCTTTTTAATATTGAATTAAAAATTTTGGTAAATTTTGACTTATACACCCACACACAGATACATTGATTTGAGGGCTAAACTGCCATAATTTTTACTGTAGAATAAACGTATGGCCACTAAAACCCATGCATGTCGTTTTCAAGTATAAATCTATCTTAATTGCCAAAACATCAAACGGGGGGGGGGGGATACCAAAATTTTACCTCCGAAACTTGCGGGGGCCACTTTTTTAAAGACTTTTAGTGGGCGAAGCTTCCCACACCTTTTATTTTTTAAAAAGATGACAAAGAAGATAGTGAAAGTACATTTCAATTTAATTTTTGTTTTCGCATTTGTTCTTATCAGGCTGATTGTGCTGTGCTGATTGTTGCTGCCGGTACTGGTGAGTTCGAGGCTGGTATCTCCAAGGAGGGCCAGACCCGTGAGCACGCTCTCCTGGCTTACACCCTGGGTGTGAAGCAGCTGATCATTGGAGTCAACAAGATGGACAGCACCTCTCCTGCCTACAGCGCTGTATGTAATTTTTTAATACTTATTTTGTGTGATAATTAACCAGTTTTGTATGTTGGATGTAACGATTCAACCGTAAGCTGACAATACGTCCTTTTTTTTTTCTTGAATAGAGGTCAGCACAAGTATTGAAAATTAGGTTTAGATTAGTCATTACGAAATTTGAATTCTATTTATGAAGAAAAACTAGTTTCACCTTTAACACAAGTAGAGTAACTGCAGACTTTGGAAATGAAAGGTGCTTGTCTGCTTATGACAGTATTGTGCTTTTTTCTAAATTAATGTTCACTCTGGTCACTGTTTGAGGGGGTGGGAGAGATCAGAATCTTCCTGAAGAGGTATGCAAATATGCGTGACAACTGCAGAATGTCTTTGTGTTTTGAAACTACTTTTTTTACTTTGGGGAAAAAACATTGGAATAGAGCCATCATCTATCTTGCTTTCTGTTTTCCAGGACCGTTTCAATGAAATCCAGAAGGAAGTGTCCTCTTACATCAAGAAGATCGGATACAACCCCAAGACTGTTGCTTTTGTCCCCATCTCTGGATGGAACGGTGACAACATGCTCGAGGAGTCTCCCAACATGGGCTGGTACAAGGTAAGAGTTTTTCTCTTTTTTTTTTCCTGGTCTCTTTTTGTATTTTGTTACTGAAAAATTTGTGCTGTCCAAATTATGGCTGACATTGAACTATGTACCAATGTTTAAATTTCAAATATGTTGAGGAATTATTGGTGTTTCATTTTAATGTTCCTTGTAAAAAATTTGAGATGTCTTTTGAAAAAAGCTTGTCAGATTTTATGAAAAAACTTACTAAAATTGGTGGTTTTGAAAATTGCTTGTAATTTGTTCTGTGTTGCGTTGTCCAGGAAATTCCCTCTTGCTGTTGCTATCAACTAGGTCAAAGTGTGTTCTGGTTATTTTTAATGTTAAAGGATTTTGATTTGTTTAGTTTTGGTCTTGTGTGGTGGTTTTATGTTGGCAGAAAATATTCACATGACATTCACAATTTTTCTCCAGCTCAGATTAAACAGGAAACGGTTTTCGTTTCAGAACATGGTAATAGTCCTGTGTACATGAGCATATTTTCTGTTTGTGCAGGGCTGGGCTGTTGAAAGGAAAGAAGGCAATGCCAGCGGCAAGACTTTGATCAGTGCTCTGGATGCCATTCTGCCACCCTCTCGTCCATTGGACAAGCCTCTGCGTCTGCCACTCCAGGATGTCTACAAAATCGGCGGTATTGGAACAGTGCCCGTCGGCCGTGTTGAGACTGGAATTATCAAGCCCGGCATGGTTGTGACTTTCGCCCCCGCCAATGTCACCACTGAGGTATGTCATGTTCTCTTGTTGCTAAATAACCAGTGCTTGCTAGCCAAATGGGCATTGATTTTTTGTAACACACAAGGGGGTGCTCTGGTGTGGTTTGCTCCTTCTTTCCTATAAAAGGTCTTTATCTCCCCTCCTTTTTTTGTGTTTGTTACTCTTGTAACACCTCTAATCTTCAGCACTTGTGACCTTTAGCAAGTGCCGTGAAACTCTTAACTGAAACACACATTTACACAGAGTACCCTGATAGGATTTGCATAAAAAATCTTTTTCTCTTTCCTTTTTGAGTTCCATTTCCATCTTTCATATGTAACTTCCGTTGATGGTGTGGACAGACATGGGAATTGCGGGTCATCATTACTGGACTACTGTAAATATACGCAGCTTACAAAAATTCACTTAAGATAATTGTGCTGCATTGCTTCCCATTATACATTTTTTGTGGGTTTTTAATAGTGTTTTCAAATATATGGGAATTGAAGATTTTAAAATATTTTTTTTTCAATTTCAAACCGAAGTTTGTTTTTCCTCCTTGTTCAGTTTCTTTAAAAGACATGGAGAGCTTTCTCTATAACGACATACACACCAATGAAACCAAACTTCTATTGGTAGAGCAATATCCACATTTGTAGGTCAAGATTTCTGGAAACCCCCAATTGTCCTTAAAAGCGACCAAATCTGGGTTAAGATGTAGATTCTAGCTTTGTCCATTTGCAATATAACTAGAACAGTTGATCCGGACTTGATTTCATGCAAATTCAGGAATGAATTTCGTTTTTAGGAAATTGACCATACATGCTAACTTGCGGAAGTCAGGGGAACAGAAAAATTCTTTGCATATATATTCGTAAAGTGATTGCTCAGTGTTCGCAGTTTTTTTTGTAATCTGCAAAATATTTTAAATTGTGACACTACAATTTCTCTCCTATAAGATTTAAAACTACATATTTGTGATGTAGTTTGTTTGATTTTCATACATTAATGCTGAAATTGAGTGAAAAGATCAGCTTCAGTACTCTTCAATGGGAGAAGTAGAAATAATATAGCACCAATATTTCCAACTTCTGTTAAGTTTGGTATTGTGGTTCTTTTTTTATTTTCACTGGAATTTGTATCAACCTTGTAGTTTAAATTACCTTCAGTGCCCCGTTTAATACTTATTGTCATAAAATCAACGTTGATGCTAGGCGGGATCTGTTTCGACAGAACTTGCTTTAGTGTCTGTGTGGCAAATAGGAGCTGACAATCCACCAAGGATGTGAGGTGACCTTTTCCACAACGTTGTACATTAACTGATTCTCCTGACTGCTCGCGTCAGATGAAGAGTCAGCTTCTGCATATTCCATGACCTTCTCGTAGTTGCTATGTGACTGTGAAAGAGGAGAAAAACCATGCAGAGGACATTTATTTTTATTCACTTTATTTTGGAATTTTAGTAAGGTGAATGTGTTATGATTTTTTAAAATTAATTTTTTTCTAAAGGAATAAGAACAATTTTTCTGTTTCTAGGTGAAATCTGTTGAGATGCACCACGAGTCTCTGCCAGAGGCTGTGCCAGGAGACAACGTTGGCTTCAACGTCAAGAACGTCTCTGTGAAGGAGATCCGTCGTGGCAACGTTGCCGGAGACAGCAAGAATGATCCCCCCAAGGGAACCAAGACCTTCCACGCTCAGGTAAATAAAAATTGAGGGCTTTGGAGTTTTAGCTGTGGATTTGTAAAAATTGTGTAGGAAGCTGTGGAATCAGGGACTCGTCAAAGTTCGGGCATAATGGAGTTATTAGTGTCATCTTAAAGCTTGTTCTCTTGTCTTGCTTTTGACGAAAAAATTTCCTTGTCTTCAATGGCAGTCACTGTATTTCAGATTTGAGGTGGGATCACCTGGTTTCAGGGTAACATTTTTTAAGAAAATGGCCACCTAAGATTGGTGACTTATCTGGCTTGATAGTTTTGCAAATTTACAAAATATTTGTTCCTTTAATCAAGGCTTTCAGTTTCTCTGATTTATTATTTTGACGAGCGCTGATTTCACTCCATGATACCTCACCACAATTGCATTTTTATTTTAGAATTAGTTCATTAATATTTGAAGGCAAGCTTGCTCAACACACTTTAGCTGGGATTAGATGTTTGGACAAATTGCATTTAGTATTGTGATATTTCAATTGTTACATGTCACCTGTGGTGCCCTGTTGAAAACTTTTTATCAACGTTGATGCTGGGTGGGATCTGCTTTGGCAGGACTTGCTTTAGTGTCTGTGTGGCGAATAGGAGCTGACAATCCACCAAGGATGTGAGGTGACCTTTTCCACAACGTTGTACATTAACTGATTCTCCTGACTGCTCGCGTCAGATGAAGAGCCAGCTTCTGCATATTCCATGACCTTCTCGTAGTTGCTATGTGACTGTGAAAGAGGAGAAAAACCATGCAGAGGACATTTTACAATTATTTGATAACGTATTCATTGCAAAATTAGCATTTCACAAGCTTTGTTAGTGGACAAGTTATAAATTTTCATTTTGACTTTATTTCTTGGACAGGTTTTAAGGGAATGGGGTGGCCGTCTAGGAATTAAGTGGGGTGCATGCATAATGCATTTTTAACTAGAAAATCATCGTGACCAACCTCCATGTCTTTGAAAAATACAGGGCTGCCCACTCATGAGCATGGATTAGTAATCTGCAAACATAGTTTGACCATTGACCATGGCTTGTTTTCTTTTCTGGGGTGTGGAGGATTGGTATAAATAAAATGTAAACCGTGGCGTGTTTTGTTGGGCTTGTCACTATTCAATGTGTTAAATTATGTGGTTATCTGTGAAAGATACCACAGTAAAATGTCATCATTTCACCACGTTTCATCCGCTGGCTGTTACGCCCAAAATAAGTTGAGCTTTAATCTGGTATGGGTTGAATGAGCTTAGGCATTTTTAACATCTTACCCACAATATGCACATCCCATTTGCTGGTACATGCTGATTCTGATTCAGCTCTGAGACTGCCGTTGTAGTGTGAAACTCGTGTTCTTTTGATTTCTAGATTTTAAACTTTGTTTAAATTATCGACAGGTCATCATCCTGAACCACCCTGGTGAGATTAAGAACGGTTACTCTCCCGTCCTGGATTGCCACACTGCTCACATTGCCTGCAAGTTCCAGGAAATCAAGGAGAAGTGCGATCGTCGTTCTGGCAAGAAGCTGGAAGATATGCCCAAGTTCGTCAAGTCTGGCGATGCCGCTATGGTGGACCTCGTGCCATCCAAGCCCATGTGCGTGGAGGCTTTCCAGGAGTACCCTCCCCTGGGACGTTTTGCCGTGCGTGACATGAAGCAGACCGTTGCTGTCGGTGTCATCAAGTCTGTGGAAAAGGCCGATGCTAGCACCGGAAAGGTCACCAAGGCTGCTGCCAAGAAGAAGTGAATGGTGCAGGAACCCTCGCCCCCAGCAATGGACGAATGTAACATGGACAGTTTGCAACACCGAAGACGGTTCTTCTGTGAACCATGGGGCGATGTGGGTATGACGACGATAAAGATATACCACCCTTACGGCAGTGAAGGTTCCGCTGCTGTCTCACCCATTAATTTGTTACCCATTAAGAAGCTAATTCAGTTGATTTTGATTTCATGGTCTAGGTGGCTTCTTCAGTCAAAATTGCACAGGAAAGAATTCCGAAGGAAAAAGGCTTGACAACTCTTAATTTCACTGTGTAAAGTTTATTTCAAGTGTAAATTAAACGCTTCATTTCCCTGAAGGTGAACATTTTGTTTTCTTGGTTATTTTTGTGTTATATTTCTATCATCTCTATTTCTCCTTTGCTTTACCATCAGCACATTTGGATGTTTGTTCAGTAATATGCTGTAAGATTTTTTAAAGGGCTCTATCGAATCTTTTGCGGTGGCTAGTGTTGGCAGCAAGCACAGAATGAACCTACAGATCGAACCATGGTTGACATGATTTGTAATGCCCGGATTTACATGAATTCCAAGCGGATTATTATACTTATCACAAGGTGTTGGTCTGGTTTGTTGTAACCAGCTCTCATCTTTACATTCTCATGATTTGAGTAGTGTATTCAACCTGAGTGGTTGGTGGTGGTTCTGGTGTGGTTTGCTCCTTCCGTCAAGCATCCAACGTCCTTATCTTTCATAGCTTGTGTTCATTGCTCTTGTGTTGTGCAATAATGCCTATCTTCAACTGTAAAACTTGCTGAAAACTACTCCGATTATAATATCATGACAGTACCCACAAAGTTGGATGTCTTGATGGAATCTTAGCAACAAAAACAGGATCTCCCCAAGGACTTTTATTTCAATAGAGAATGCTTGCATCTAATTTAGCCCGTAGCACCTGTACATGGGTGATTCTCTACTAGAGTTCTTCACAACAATGTGGCACTGATGTGAGGAATGTCCAGAATTATAGGGCAGAAAGAGACGATAATTATCAAGCAGAACACATTTCTATCACCGTCATGTTTTTATAATGGGATATCGATGCTCTTTCACACAATTCTAACATTTTGTGCCGATTTACTTTTTTCCCGGTTGTCTCCCTGAGTGGGTGTTGGGTGCTCGTCATTTCCTTTTATAACATCTATCATCATCTCCCCTCCTTCATTGTGTGTCACTCTTGTAAGAAACCCCTCTAATCTTCAGCACTTATAAAAACGACCTCTCTGAAGTGAACTCGAAAGGAAGCTCAGGAGGCTAGGATTTGTGTGTAGATTGGGAACAAGAGCTCAAGGCTGTAAGGGTTGTTTAGCCTGCTGGAGGAGTGGTCTTCAACCTGCGTTGAGTCGGCATTTACTTGCGGCCCAATTCTGCTCCCAACTCCTTGTGGAAGTTTTGAGATCCTCGATAAAGAACTCGCGAGGGATTCAAACAAGTGTCGTGGGTGCTCTGGTGTGGTTTGCTTATCTTCTTTCCTATGAAACATTTATCTCTAATCTCATCTTCTTATTATGTTTGTTACTCATACGACACCTCTAATATTCTTGCGCTCATACAACCGTATGCAGTTGAGAGCGAGTGCCGTAAAACCTAAAACAAACAAAACTGGTGTCTTCTGCGTAAGCTGATTTTAATGAAGCAAGTGGCTCAGGATTTTTTTAATTTAAAAAAACAAAATTACAATTATGAGAAGGGGTTTCCGGAATGGTACTGGTAGATCTAGATTACCTCTAATAGGGTTCCTGCGGTCTCCTTGAATTCAGAATCCTTGAAAACTCTTGAATCTGCATTCATGAAAAAATCTAGAAACCTTAAAGTTGAGTAACTTCCTTGAACTTGAATTTTGCTGGATCGAACATTAACTCATGAACAAAATTTTTGTAGTAGGAACATCGTAACTTTGATTCCTTTTGGGCGGGTGTGGGCCTATGGGAAATTGAAATAGGCTTTCGGCATGAATTTCTGGACCAAATCTCCTGGAATTAATAAAAAAAATTTCTCCTTGACATCTTGAATTTGGTGGGGGGGGTTAATGACTGGAACCTGGCTCGAATGATGTGCTACATGTAGCCTACTGGTGGTTGTAGTCAACGAGAAATGAAGGCAGGTGGTTGATGGGTGCTCTTTGGTTTGCTCCTTTATCAAATCAAACATCTTCTATCGTCCTTATCCCTCTCCTCCTTTTTTGTGTTTGCTGCTCTTGTACCTTTTTTTCTTTCCTCATCCTTCCTATCATTTCCCTCTCTACTTTTTTGTTTGTCACTCTTGTGAACTGCTATTTCTGGAGTGTTTTGATCTAAGTATTTTAAGCAGACTTCGTGCTGTTGGGGCTAGTTAGAGTTAGAGAGATATGAGGCGAGCAGAGTACAGGTAAGCCTGAAAGTAAGGACTTTTGGGTTTACATCCACCCCTTGGCGCTCGTACTCATGACCAAACGCAGTTGCGAGTGCCGTAAAACCGTACTATGTGGCATGTGGGTGGTTGGCGAGTGCTCTGGTGTGGTTGGTTTGCTCCTTTCTCTATAATATACTTATATGTAAAAGAAAATATCGTCTTTATCTCCCTTCCTTGTTTGTGTTTGTTACTCTCTTGTAACTCCTCTACTAATCCTCGGCACTTTAACTTTAATGACCTTATTGTGTTGCAAGTGCCGTAGAACTCTTACTGAAATAAATGTCATGTTGTATCAACTGTGTCACTATGAAAAGATATCTTGACAAATTTTATATACATGTAACTGGAAAATCATTCAAGTCATCAGTCCACCCATCCTGAGCATCAACATCAGGGTGTGCGTGGTTGCAGGACGGGGCAAGGCCACTGGGGGAGGGGGGGGGCACTATTTGAAGTTTGTTGTGTAGACCAAGGAGTAGGAGGGTCTATGTCAGCTGCTATTCCTATCCATTTGGGGTCTAAATCTACGTTGTGTGATCTTTGACTTTTGCGTGATCGTCATGGGACCGGGAAGCGCGGGATCATAGGTCTGAGCATGGGGAACACCCAAGAAATACTTAGTACTCCTTGGGAACACCTGATTCTAGATATCTAGATTCTAGATCATCTTCACAATTTTCTTCTTCACTTGTGTCCGCACCTCTCCTATTTCCTTTCCTATGCTCATTATCAACTCTGTATGATGGTTCATCATCACTATCGTCTGCAAAAAGATCTAAATCTGACGCTTTATTGACGAATGGGTCCTTCAATTCAATGTTCCAACCTCGTTGAGACGCCGTCGCCATCGTAACTGAGCGTTGGTAGTTTTTAAATTTTAGTTCGTTTCGGATGAGTTCGAAAAAAAAGTCCAATTTTTAGTAACTTATTCAAGGGACGTTACTGCAATAACAATGCGAAATCGAAACTGAACTGGCTTATGTCGCATACTTCCTTCCGACTGCCGAGCCCGGAACTGAAACACATCTGGGAATGGTTTTAAAAAATTTTTTAGTAGAGGTTTTACGGCACTCGCAGCTGCATAAGGTCTTATGAGCGCCAGAAGATTAGATATAGCATGTGTTACAAGAGAGTAACAAGCATACGAAAGAAAAATGAAAAATTGTAAAAACTAAACGCACCCGACAGGGCTCAGGCGTGGCAGTGAGTGGGTTAAATTTTGCCAGACAGAGCTAGATGTTGACTTTTCTGTCAGGAGTCCAAAAACCATTTACTAAACACTTTTCAGTTTTCCTGGTGGTTGGCGGGTGCTCTGGTGTGGTTTACTTTTTCTTTCCTTGCAAACGGCTTTCTTCTTCATCTCCGCTCCTTCTTTTTAGTGTTTATTATTACTCTCTTGTAACATATGTCACACATAATCTTCGGCACTTATGTGACCTTGTGTTGCAAATACGGTAGTAAAAGACTTCAAACTAAAACTCCTGATTGTGTTTTATCAGTGAGCGTCCCTCGTGGCCTTCATCGAGTACTAGAGATCTAATTGTACTGGTCAAGTACCAGATGAAATTTAATTTCTTACCTTTCAAGATATTCTCAGCAGTTTTCTTAGAAACCCCACTTCTATTGCGTGGGTGGTTGGCGGGTGCTCTGGTGTGGTTTGCTCCTTCTTTCTCTATCAAACATCTATCCAGTGGCGGGGCGCCATTAGTGCAAGCGACTAGCCTATTCCTATTACATACATGATGTAGCCTACTGCTATTACTGTATTAGATGTACTACACTAGTAGTAGTAGAGTCTATGGTAACTCAATGAAGAATGGGTATTGAAACTGTTGTCCTGTCCCCGTCGTTGTATGCAAGAAAAATTCAGAAATTAGCAAACTGAGCCCAAAAATCATGTGAAATTATGCAATTCGGTTAATTTTAACAAAGACTGATAAAGGAAAATAATCAGGTATTATGCCAAAAATGATCAAATTTTGCTCAAATTTAAAATGCGGGATGCATAAAACCGCCGGGACAAGTTTGTCGCCCTCTATTGTGTAACTGTAGCACAGCCCTTTAGCAATCCACAGAATGGACGGCACGGCACGTGGAGCGGAGGGAAAACTCACCATACTCACATTCACCGCGGCTGCTCACTGCTCAAATCGAGGGATTGTTTACTCAACTACATGTGTACATTACACACTAGTGCACGTGGAGCGAGACTCTCTAAATAACTAAATAAATTAGATCTAGTTTTTTTAAAACTTCCTTTCTTTCATCACATGAATCACATTTAGATCTAGTAGAAGTCAGAAGTGTAGTCTGGCTTTGGAATTTTGAACAATTTCACAAAATATCTGGATGTTCCTTTGTAAGTTTTGTGTTGAATACGCTTTGGTGTGTTAACGATTTGTTTGCACCATGAGTCATGAGGGACAAGAAGCGCGCTCTCACTCTCACTCACCACTCTTCAAAAGGTAGCACTTCAGCTCTACTCCCGTTTTAATATTAATATTGAGATGCAAAGAGATGAGCTTTATACACGACGACTTGTACTTTTGTAATAATACCATGATTATATACTCTAAAAGAAAGAACTCGGCATGCCTTAGGTTTTCACCAGAAGCACATTGTAAAGATGGATTTTAAAGCAGCACGAAATGGGTGAAGGCAGAAGAGACTTTCCTAGCTAAAAGTAAAAGAGGGTGGCTTCGAATTCGAAGGGAGGTTGTCCGACGAGCAGTTGTTCAGATGTTTGATGAAGAAAGAAATGAATTTGTTACTCTCACTGCAGAAAGTTGAAAAGTTGGTTGTTCAATAATCATGATATAAATATAATAATTACATGTATATTCGAAGACATGCATTTGGAAAACAAGTGAGTGAGATGTGTTGAGTTTACGTTCAGGAAATCAAATGGTGGGAA